AAGTGTTTCTCAGCGCCGGTCCTGCTCAGCCTCTCCCACCTTCTCCTTGTCAGTTCAGGTTTTTGAAAAGAGGGGTAAGACCACTGGCATGCCTCAGCTTTGATTAAAGGAATGCTTACATCACTCCGTCTCCAAGAGAAACAAGCCATTCGCTCGGCGCAGATGGCTTGTCCAATGGTTGAGGAGCTTTCCGAGGGGCAGGCAGACAGGTGCGCCGCTGCAGACGGCATGGAGCACAGACAGAGGAGTGTTGCTGCTGGTTTATGTGTAACGTAGCAACAACAAAGCCGTAAATCTCTGTGCAGATTTACTGACTGTCAGGGGTTTTCCTTAAAGCTGGCCCTCCTTTTACAGATCGGAAATAGGCTGAGGCAGGAGCTCTTAACCCCCGGGTTGGGGGTCCACAACAGACCCTGAGAGTCTGTCTGATGGCATTGACTTTAGCCGAGTGGTGATGGGATTTAAAAAGACTCTGCTGACTTTGTGACTGTATTTAGGGTCGTATATTTAATCTGAATCATACTGACAGATGAGGTCTGCAGAGGGGAATGTATACGATGCCTGAAGTGAGACGCCTTGTCCCTAAGCTAGCCCAAAGATCACTCTTTCTTTTTGCCATTTTTGCCTTTATTAGGAGGGACAGTTAAAGAGATGCGGACAATGTGGGGTAGGAGAGAAAGGAGTAGACATGCACCAAAGGGCAAAGGCTGGGAGTCCAACTGCGACCGTCATCTGTGTTTAGAAGTTAAGTTTAATAATAGCCATCAGCCTCGTTTCCACCAAGCGGTCTGGTTCAGTTCGGTTGGGTATGTTCCCATTTATTGTCGTTTCCACCATCAAAAATTGGGAATGATACCAAAAACTTGTTTGGTACCATTCCGTTGGGGTGTCAAGGGTACTAATCCGACACTAAAGGGTCCCTCTTGTGTACTGAGTAACGTTCTTATTCTTTGTTGAACTTAATTAATAGCAGACTGCACAGTGTTGGGCTAGCTGACGCGACTATCTCAATCTGGCTCACACTCCCTTTCCAAAGTAAGGGTACGGTTGGCTGTGGAAACACAAGTAAGTTCAGGTTTTACCGTATCGAACTGTACTGAACCAAACAGGACTGTTGGTGGAAACGGGGCTTATTATTATAGTTATTGGCTGTAACTGTGATCATGCTGGGTTAGCATTACAAGCTAGCGGGCCGGTTGCTTCCAGACTTTCAGTAGTTCACCAGAGCTCTTTGCCATCAAGCCAACAAAGGGTGACCATATGTCCTGATTTAACCGGGATCATCCATGTCCAGAGTCCCAAAAAACATCTATAAATCACAAAAAAATCCCGGTGTTGAACAGTCCTTGTTTCAGTTTTAACCAACCAAAAGACACCACGCTAACAACACTGATTTGTCAGTGTGTATGTCAGTCAATGTCAGCCTGTTGCGACAGGCAGAGTAGCAGCTTTCACCTCCATGTTTACCATCAGCCCCGTTGTCTTCCTTCTTCTGTGCTGGAGTGAGCACATGGTACTGAGTTCTGCTGATGTTAAGGTCATTGAACATTACAATGTGTTAACCTTAGACTGGGACTGATAAATCTAACAGGTTTGATTTTAGTGGAAGATCAAGACAAGAAGAAAAGTGACTTTAGCAGGATCAGACCCAAGTTTTATGACCACCTGACACCAAAGGATGGAGATGAATGAAGCTTGGAACGATCTTAGAAAATGTTCTGTGACGGTAAAACCTTGTGTGGTTTGGTTCAAAGTCGTCATAACATTTTAAAGAATAATTAAAAGATGTGAATCCAGATTATTTGATGCAATGATTACAAGCAGAACTGAGAGGGACGTTTCTTTTAAATACTCATTTTGATGTGTTTGCAGCGGTTTTGTTACGCTGACCGCAGACACACTGCAAACCAAATCGAGAAATTCTCTGGTGAAATCACAATTTGGCATCTGTGAATATCATGAATTCCTTTGATAGTTTAGTCTACAGAGCCTGTGAGGGGGCAGAGAGCTTCAGACTGATGGGAGTTTTGGAGCTCAGTCAACCAGACATTTTTTTTTATTGAAGAGCAGTTTATGCAACTTTCCCACATTTTGGAGCATGTCAGATCAGCACTTCATCACTTGACCTGTTATTTATACATCAGAAATTCTTTACATGCTTCATAAAAAAAAAAAAAAACTCTTGAGCGTGGCCAACAAACGATTCTTCATTTGACATCTCGATGGGCACAATGGCAGATAAGTGCTGGAAAAAGGGCATTTTAGAGTATAAATCACCACGCTTTATAACTTTTTACAACAATCGGGAGATACAAATCTGAAAAACGACAACAAAAGAGTAAAAATCAGTCTCTGATATCTGGATGTTTGGCTTCTCGTCACCACATTACACAGAAGTTTAAGTGATGGGATGATGAACAGCATCACCTCCAGGAGTTTCTTTTCCTCTGTTTAGTCTTAACAGAGTCTTTGGTATGCAGTCTGATAGTCCACTTGAGTGTGAAGAGCGATGTCTGCTGCATAGTTGGGAGTTCAGTCACAGTCTGTTCAGTCTTTTAGGTCTGACCTTAATGAAAAGGAAAGTGCAGATCGGGTCTTTCCGTCTGTCTTTCTTCGCTACCTGCAGCCGCACGACTCCACCACCATGTCCTCGTACTGCTTGTAGACGACGTTGTTGGCCGAGTCGATGTAGAGGATGCTGATCGGGCTGAGCCGCGTCGGCACGCAGCAGGTCGGCGGCGTCGACTCCGGGTCCATGGAGTTCATCAGGGTCTGGATGATGGCGTGGTTGGTGGGCTCGAGGTGCGAGCGGATGGGGAAGTCGCAGGCGCCGTCGCAGTGGAAGGCCTCGTACTCCAGCGGTGCGATGATCCAGTCGTCCCAGCCCATCTCCTTAAAGTTCACGTGGAGTCGCCGTCGGTTACACCGCGGCCTCGTCTGCATCTTCACCACCTGGTGCTGGGGGAGGGATGGCGGCAGCGGCTGCAGGGTTTTTTTAGCCCCCCTCGCGGCGGGCGCTCGCCGCATCCGTCGCTGAGTGAACAGGTATTCATAGACAGTTTTGTTGTCATGGCCTGACCTCGCTTTAATCTCGTTGTAGAAAAGATCCCGCTTCTTGCTTTTGCCGAACGCCAGGAAGAAGGCCTTTTCCTTGTTGCTCCTCCCGGGTCGAGCAAACCCGAGAGCGCGCAGGTCCACGGGGCGGCCACCTCTGTGCTCCTGGGCCTCCAGTTCAAAGCACAGCTGCTGAGCGAGCTGGTTCTGCTGGATTTTAAAGCCCTTAAAGACTTTCCATATGTCAAACACTTCCCATTTGCTGCCAAATCCGCCTCCGCCGTGCAGATCCTCCACGGTTTTGGTCTGCAGCAGAGCAGCCGGTTGTTTACCTGAAGCGCAGGTGTACAGCTTCAGGCACGGGGACGAGCCTCCACCACCCCCTCCCCCTCCTCCTCCTCCTCCTCCATCAGCGGCTGCAGATCCAAAGAAGGCTCTCCGGGGGTCAGACAGGCGCTTCCTCAGGATGCGTAATTCAGCCCCCAGGAGCCCGTCTCGTTCCAGAGAGCTGACATTGAAGTGATACCTCTGCCGTCTCAGCTGGGGCCCACGCTCGTCTGCGAGGGAGGACACAGACACAAAAGCAGAGACGAGAAAATATGAGTCAAAGCTGAGAAAAAGGCAAATTCATACACACAGAAACAGACAACTACAACCTGTTCCAAGAAACAGACAGATCAAATCTAGATAGGTACAAACATGCAGGTAGACAAACAGACAAACCGAGCAGACGTTTAGAAACACACCTGAAGACTGAATGATAAACAAGTTCAACAGAAAGTGAATTGCTAGTTTTTTTAAATCTAATAATCTGCATTCTCTGGATGCAAAGAAAACAAATATTTGCCGTCTCCAGAATCTCAGATGTCTCGATAACATCTTTGGATTTTTAACTCTTTGACCTTTGAAAGCAGCATTTGGGAAGTGACATTCTTTTTTTTGACATTTTAACCTCCTAAAGTTTTCTTAAATGACTCAATGAAGGTATAAAACAAACTTTTTAGGATTGCTGATGCAGATAAAATATCAGTCGCATCCTTTGTGTAAACACATACCGTAGACAGAATGAGGATCAGGACTGAGATAAGACAAATATTTACACACATCCTTCCAGCGAGCTAATATTGCTCCTGCAGGCAGATGCTAACACACACACACACACACACACACACACACACACACACACACACACACACACACACACACACACACACACACAGGAACATCAGGAGGAATGAACTGAATGGTGTGGTGTGTAATGTTTTCTTTTGTTGTCAGTGAAGGAAACCAGTGAACCTCCGTGTCTAAATGAAATCCAGCAATGAAATCCACTAAAGTCACACACTCACACACACACACACACACACACACACACACACACACACACACACACACACACACACACACACACACACACACACACACACAGCAGCAGATCTCTCCCCTCTGTTCACTTCTTCTCACGTTATTCCTCCCCCCTTGTATCCAGGACTTTAGCATGCATTGAAAAGTACATTAGAACCAGACAGAGAGACCACATCAGACTGTAAACAGACCCGTTACTTTGGACCTGCAGCTCTCAGCTTTGGAGGAAACAAACTGTCAACAACACACACACACACACACACACGCAACACACACACACAAAAACAAATCCTGGCGTTCCTCTCAGGAAGCTCTTAAAAAGCTCATACTGAGAAGAATTTGTTTTAATAAGCGTACAACAACATTGAGGATAAAAGTGCTTTAAAGATTGAATGTTTGGGGGGGGGGGGGGTCTACGGAGTTAGAGCAGGTTGTTCTAAAAGGGGACTGATAGTTTGGCCCTCTGCTGCTCTCATACTTTGGAAAATTATTGAACGTGATAATGGGACGTCCTCTGAAAGCTGTGACACTGCTGCATGAGTTTGCATCAAATCAAATTGAGGTTTTTTTAATGCCACAGGTTTGACACGGTACGAGATGGTACAAAAAGTACAGAGGCGACCATGGACCACCAACTCCTCCATGAAACTAGCGACCCAAATTTCGAATATTTCTTCCACCAATTGTGCTATTTGTGCTCCATCAGGAGGGACTCGAACACTTGTACAGTTGTTCTGTAGCAGAGGAGGCTTGCTTTAAAGGATGTTGCTGACGGGTCCATCGAGTGAATACTGAGGATTTGGCCTCCTTCATTAATGACATTAAAGGTGCACTATGTAGTTTTGGTAGAGAAAACTGAAAGTTGGAGAAGTGCACAGATATGTGGTATATGTTCATAACTATTCACACAAACCGTCCTCAGAGGAAAATGTGCTCCCCTGAACTCTGTTTGAAGATAAAATGCTACACGACAAGTTATGGTGGGGGGCCACAACAGTGAAAGCGTAACTCTCCTGGTAGCTTTTTAGCTCCAAACAGCATCCAGGGTCCCATTTTTTCCTTTGAATAAAGTTTGGGTATTTGGTTCAGAAAATATAGCATAGAATTGTTTCACTTCTCCAACTTTCAAATTTCACTACCAAATCTACACAGTGCACCTTTAAGCTTTCTATCACTGACAGCAGTCATGTTTCTGTAGAATGATGATTAGCCTACCTGCTGGTAAATGATGCACTCTAATTAATGGAGATGTGTACTTGCAGAGTACCACAGGCTGCTGACAGGTCCATCAGGTGACTAACATGACGAGGCATCCTTTTTTGATGACCTCCCGATTTCTATCACTGCCAGCAGTGTCCTTAAAGTGGAATGATTGCTCTTTTAGCCAGACTGGTTTGGATCAAAAACCTTATTCTGAAAGAGAGGAAGTCTGAGCTCTGGAGTCTTAAACATCAGGGTAACGTTGGCCTGCTGCTTAAACACTGCAGCCTGTCTCTGCAGTTTCCAGGCTTGATTTTGGGTGAGACAGCTGACAGACAGTGAGACACTGAAGCTTCAGTGTTTAGCCAGCTTCATCGGTCTCACACAGTACACAGTGCTTGTTTACATCCTGGTAGTATAAGAAAGAGGAGGCCCAATAACCAGAGCTACAGCCAGTCTTTGACCTGCTGGTCGAGGTTTGAGCACAAATTGACCGGCATTGAGGGTCAAGATAATATTTTTACAGATTTATTAAAAAGAGCAATATGTAAGTCTGACACTCTGACAGTGTTTAAAATGAGTACTGCAGTCCAAATTCAAAACATTGTAGAGAGCTGCCCCCCTCCTCCTCTCTAGAGTCGATGCTCACTCAGGTCACCATGTGGTGGACACTGAAGCTTCAGTGTTTATCCAGCTCTGCATGGGTCTGTAAACCTTTCTGTGTTCTAACCTCTCTCCATTTTTCAAAAGCATCTCCAATATTGATCCTAGTTTGAGCACGTTTCTGCTCGTGGAGCTTATTAGAAACATGCAGAGGCTTTTTAGGTCGGGTACAATCACTTCTATCTGAACCACTTCTCTTGACCGCTTCCATCGCTGCAACACCTGTTGACCTGATAACTGCTCTCATATCTGACAAACCGAGGGGCGTCCAAAACGGCCGTGTGGGGGGGTCTTAAAAGCGCCTACCTTCTCTGGTCCAAACAAATCCAGAGCATTCAGGAGCAGAATCTAAAGTTAGAAGGAGGACATACTGGCTGCTGCATTGTTGTCAGAGAAGCCAGCACTTCAACATAGCATGTTTCCTTAATGATCAGAGAGTAAGATACCTTTATCATCTCACTCTCTACACAGCTCACTGATTGATCCTTTAGAAGAGTGCTATGTTAAAGGGTTTGGTGAGATGTAATTATCTGACATCTGAACAGCATGTTGTAATTGAGTGAGGGGAGAGAAAGACAAGAAAACAGAAGCAGAAAAAAAAGTGAAAATGAATGTGAACAAGTGTGTGGGAAGAGCGGTGTCAGGCCATCAGTTACACCTCGGCTCTGCCCCTCCACATGTGGACGAGGTCAGCAGCGATTTGCTGAGGACACCCTAAACAAATAAAGCCCAAATTAAAAGTACATTAAGTGCCTGAAATGTAAACCTTTAGCAGAGCTAGAAATATTAAACTCTGCTCATTTAAACATTGTTTCAAACAGTTTTACACCCTAAAGATAACATTACACAGGGGGGCCACCCGACTTGTGGCTGTGAGGAGTGTTTATTTACCCTCCTGAGGCCGTATATCACTGAGAGCAGCATGGCCGCCAATGACTGACCAGATGGTTCAAACACACACACACACACACACACACACACTTAAGGAACCCAGATTAAACAGCACACACAGATAGCATGAGCGCAGACATTTGCCCTAAACTCAAAGACTCTGAAAAACGTGATTTGTAATCAAAAATCTCTGGCAGTGGGTGCTGTTTGATTAGGTTTGTTTGACAGTGATGGAAACACAAGCAAACAAGCAAACGACTGTCATTAAAACGTCTTATTCAAAGTCTGATTCATCCAAGGTGGTGCATAACAAGCTGGCGACATCGCTTCTTCCCGATGCCTCGCTCCCATTCAAAGAAGGGTGAAGTGGATCGAGAATGACCCGAGTGCTTAAAGGTACAAAACGTTAAATTTTACACCAACATGTATCTAAATTAACTAAAAATGGACGAAACCTATGTTTTATTTATTTTTTGTTCAGTACTTACATTACATAAAATATTTCCGACAGTTATCAAAGACAGAGAAATCCCTAATTTTAAGTTGTAACCGCCATGATACGTTTATCGTTGCCGTGGAAACACCGGACATTACATCAAAGGCCACTGCATAAGGAAGCTTGAGCTGCTCCTGAAAGCTGCCGTACTGTTGCTGTTTGTGCTGCTGTGATAAAAACATCATGTAAATGATACTCGGATACATCAGCTCGTCTGTAAACATGTTCTCCTCCTCCTCAGGTCAGTTTCGCCCGGTCGTCATGACTACGGTCAACCTCGGAGGTCGTTTTCATTGGGGGGTGGAGTAGCAGATAGAATCACTCCCATGATTCCCCGTCAGCCTCGACGTCATCTTTTGTTTATTGTTTTGATTGAGAGCCCCCTGGTGGTGGAGTTCACAAACTGTGACTTTAAATTCTTTGTGCAAATTAATGAAAAAATGTGTAAAAGAAAAAAAAAAGTCTCAACGTTGTAGAGCAATTGAGAAAACATGTCTTCTTAGACTTTTATGGAACAAGCGTTGTCACGGTAACATAATTTAAACTTCACTATGATGTAAGTGAAAATCAAATGATTTCGATACTTGTTTAGAACCACAGCAAAAAAATTAGAATACTCGTCTGTTCTTCTTTTAAGTTTCCAGAAATGGAAGCAAACTTATTCCAACTGCCTAAATTAACAAATACATTGGCAACATTTGTGTTTGTTCATGTTTCGACAGGGACACCTCTCTGTTCTCTGCTCTATTCTTAAGAAACATAAATGTAACTTTAACACCAAAAGGACTTGAGGAACCTCATTATATGCGGACATGTGAACCTGAAAACGCCCTCGCTGCTCTCTCTCTCTCTCTTGCTCGTGGCAGCTTTTGATTAAAATGTCATTGTTTTTTTTTAAAGCTTTGGTACTTTTGGATATATAATTAAAAAAACACATAAAAAATATGATAAATTTAAAATGCGCAGTATTGGAAAAATATCTGACGTTTTGACAACTTTAATGGAACACTTCTACAGTTTGAGCAATAACTGAGTCTGCAGCAACGAGCCCCCGGATTATTACAGAGACTCCAACGTCTTCTTTAGAAGAAAAAAAAAAAGACCTCAAAAACCCGGCTGGCGTCGGGCTGGGGGCCGAGTCGGGCAGGGGATCTAAGAGCTTGATGAAAACAACCGAAATAAACCGAGTTAAATAAACTGTATTGATGCTTGTCCACTTTGGGCTTCCGTACTGAACCTCTTGAGGTCACTAGTTAAAAATGTTGTATCGTGTATGCATAAATTATCAGGTCAAGTCCCTTCATAAAACCACAACTACAAGTTTATATACTCCGGTTTGGCAGGTATGAGAAGAACGAAATACTCAATAAATAATGAGTTTTTAGAGTTTTTACAAGGTGGTGTTTGACGCCTTTAGACAGAGCCCAGCTACCTCTCTCTCCACCTTCTATTCTTTATGCTAAGCTAAGCTAACAGTTGTTAGATCCAGCAGGTATCAAAGCTTTATCTAAATCGCGGAAGATAGCCAATGAGCATGTTTCCCCAAAAAGTGGAACTCCCCCTTTAACACACAGCGTTTAGTGACATTAAGATATGTGATAGCTCACTCAGCCTCGCTGCAGCTTTGAAGTCAGTTCCAGCACATTTATGTGTAACAGAGTCATCTCTTTTCCCATCATCCCCTCTGCGCGCGCGCGCGTGTGTGTGTGTGTGTGTGTGTGTGTGTGTGTGTGTGTGTGTGTGTGTGCAGGAGCAGCTGACCTTCCTGACTCTCCTCCAGATGCTCTAACTCCTCTTACCTCATGAACTCCTCTAACAGGCATGTCTACATTTAGACAATTTACAGCCCTGTTTCCAGAACCGCCCCTCCTCCGGAAACCTGCAGACAGCAGAGTGCCTGACCTCCAGTGCGCTCAGTCACACATCAGACATCCATCATCTCCACATCAGTTCATACTCATCCACTCAGCCTCTGATTCCTCGGCTCAGTTTTAAGTCTGACATTTTCTGATTCAAATATGGTTTATAAGCACCGCCGCTCATCTAATAATCTATGGATGGATTTCAAACCCAGGTAAAAAAAAAACACTCTCAATTTAAGTGTGTTACTGCCAAACAGGGTTTTCATAATAGCACCTTCACACTGTCTGAATTGCACAAATATGTTGGCACCGTTTCCCCACCGTACCGTATACTGTGCTCTCCTTGGTAGGCCTATTGATCATTTTGACAACCATCAAATTTCAAAAGTCCTCCCTCAGACATGGACCAACCTTTTTTTTTATTCTAACTAAACAAAAGCGATGAAGATCCATCAATTAGTCTTTGTTGTGTCCTCCTCAGGAAAAGGGAAATTACTTTAAACCTTTGAGGATCTTGTGTGACAAATGTTCAACAGCATGAGTAACATGTCTGAAAAGAGAGAAAGAGGTTAGTCAGCGGGTTGTGTTTACCTTGCCCTTTATCCACGAAGCTTGTGATGGTGTTGGCC